AATGAGTTTTTCCTCTGTATTTCACCTACAGACCTGTGTACATAGAGGAGACTATATCCTACACCAGTGGAGAACTTTGTACAAAATGCAAGAAAAAAAATCTACCAGTCCCATATCTCTGATTGGTGTATGTGCCCTCTGTAAAACATCTCCAACAGACTGTACTCAGGCTTTCTTCCAATACTGGACTCCATAGGAATTAGCAAGTCCTGCCTTCTGAAGCTACTTATTTACTCCTAAATACTTGAGTTCATTTTTGGGGGGAAGTATTCTGAAAGCCTTGATGGCCAGTTTCATAGCAAGAGTTGGGAATAAGCTAAAAAAGGAAGACAAAATATAAATTCAAGGCATCTCTATATTCAGTACCTCCAGATACAAAGAAAATCAGGAGAATTATTTTAACACAAATGAGATGCAATTAGTGGTCAGACTAATTCCTAATAACCAAGACTTTGGCCACCACTGATCTAAAAGCATGGCCCTAATTTAGTTCTGTTCAATATATTGTATCTTAAATTTACCTTTCAGTGATTACTGGCATTATGTTATAAAGGTTCAACATAAAGGAGAGTTCTTGTCACATTAAACCTCAAATTCTAGCATGGTATCTTAATACTGGAAAATGTAATGACTCCTGAAGAAAACTAAATCCTCACAAAGCAACCCATACCCCCAGTGGGTTCTGCTGGGGTACCTTCATAGTGCTCTGTATTTAATAGCACTGGTACTTGTTGGAGTCAGCACAAATTCCCATATGACTGTGCTTGAAAGGGAACATCATGATGACTTTGTGGTGTTGTCAAGTCTAAAAGCCAGACAGAGAGACTGCTGACAGCAGAAACTTCTTACAAAAATCAAGCAATAAACATCATCATTTTCTGACAAAAGTAGCTACAAATGTTGTACTTCCTATGTTTATTTTGTGGCATGACTAACTGAGACAATAGCAAAAAGCATTGTCATGGAATATTAAAATGATAATTGATCTTTAAAGTGGCTCTATGTATGCACTGGCACAAGTATTAAGGATAGGCAAAAACTATTTGTCAAACTCCCAGACTGAACTTTGATGAAGCTGCTTGGTAGAAAGCATTCTTTTAGGAGACTGGAAAGCTCAGATATAATACATGAAACCCCACATTCTACACAGTTACACTCAAGTTGCCTGTAGCTCACTGAGTTTTTGCATTGCTAATTATTTTGAACCACTATAGAGGCAAATTAACTAATTGTCTATATATTATCACACCCAGGCTCCTAGAAAATATCTCAGGTAACTCTTGCACAATTTTTCAAGGACTGAGTTCAGATCCAAGAGGCCATTATTCAGTGCTGATAATCAAATTCATTGATTTCTATTTAATCTCATTTAATCTAATGATTTACAATTAATTCCCAGATTAAACTCTAAATGTGTTATTGATATCAGAACCAAAACAGTTTTAATGCTACCTTTTTCCCTGGGTCAGATTTAACAGTAAAACTATCATATATGTTTCTTCACCTGAGAACAACACAGCAAAATGCAATTATGAAGAGGCCTTCTGTGGCCAAACTTAGGACTCAATTGTACAGCTACCCACATGATAAGAAAAAAAATCAAGCTACAACTACCATATGTAAAAATTAAACCTAGATCACTCTTATCATTTACTCTGCCAATGTTTTGTTCCAGAATATACCTATACATTTTCATTGGTTACATACTGTAAGCTCCATACTGAGCACATATATCAACTACAATTATTTACGTGGTTTTGTCAAAATATCTTCAGGTTTCACATTTGGGCATTTCCCACTTTGCTTCTCTTCCAAAAACATCAGAACCATCTTTTGGTAGCTTTTGTTGGACATGGACTTGCTGGTCATTGCCTAAACAGCTTGCAAGCAATTCTCTCAAGTTCATTTTAGCAGAGCACCTACAGTTATTAAACTTCGTATTTTTCAATCTTCATATGCCTGCTTTAGTCTACTGCTGCAGCATCTGCATTGTAGCAAGAAAGACATTCTCCCTAAAGTGTTCCTTGAAGATATGGGATATCCTCACAACTAGCATATAAGGGCTTAACTCTACCCCTTCGTACAACTTCCATAACCTCAGTAAATTGGAACCTGCACTGGTGACACTGTGGCAGCACAGTAATTCCTGCACTGTGTATGAGATCCAGGGATGCCAGCTCCAATTACCACACACTGCTGTTTGTGGGCTAATCATGCTTGCATTTCAGAAGACTAATTAGTTTGGGCAGAGCTCTATGCTAAGTTCAGTATCTTTGCACAGTCACACACTCCACAGATATTTCTTTCCACCTTCCCACACATATTTGTCTCAATTAGACACCATATACTGATGGGTTTACCTGTGGCCAAAATTTCCGTATGGTAGAGAATTTTGCTCCAAGATACACTACTACTCTAGAAAGAAACAGAAGTAACAGAAATTATTAAAATCTCACAGTTTGCAAGAGGTCTAAATCAGAATTTCTGTTCAGAATCAGTGAGAGTTAATTTTCAAGCTTGGCCTGGCTAAGAAAGCATCGAAACCAGCAGTTATGGCACAAACTATATAAAATAGTATGTAGTGTTCTAAAAGTATTAATTTACTGGCACTAATGATGTTTTATATTATGCCATCTGCCATAAAAACTGATAAGCTGTGATGAAGACTCACTCAGGTTTGTTACAGAATATAAACATTTTACTTGAAATTGTTCAAAATCTTAGCATTAAGTAGAATGAAGTAAAATGCCAGTGAATACAGGAAAAAAAATGCATATATTGAACAGCCATGGAAGTACTTATCCCCTGCCTCCACATATTCTTAGGTATCAATTCTGAATGCACTTAGCTTGCCAAACCAGTTATTAAATGTAAGGCAATGCATATTCTACATATTTTTCTGTGTTTGAAATCTGATTTCATAAATGTCTACAATTTTCACATAGGATTTTTCTGGCCTGGTTTACCTTTTCTCCTTTATTTCAACCAATAAAGCTTGTTCTAAGGAAACAGGGAATCAACCAAAGAAATAAGAGAGCCAAAGCCAAAATCAGTTACTTTCGTATTTGTTGCGAAAATCATTGAGTCAGCAAACAAAACCAAAAACTTCCAGTTAATTTCTGCTTGAAAGCTGCCAACAAATTGACATGCAAAGATTGAGTTTTGGGACTACCTGCAGTAAAGTTATATTCAGTGCAACACAAGTGCAAACCAGCACTGTTCTATCAGCTCCCCTTTTCAGGGGTACAACAGGGAATCTCACAATAGGTGAGTTTAAGAAAACACTAACAAGTTTCTTTACTTCAATTACTTTTGGGCTAAAATTAAACAAAACCAGGGAGAACTGAGAATACAGATTTTCAGCTTTTTTAGACGGAGGGTCAACTTCAGTTTCTCTCACACACAGCTTAAGCTGTTGACATATAACAAAAATTTAGACTGCTGCTAAATGTTGCCTTCACAGAGCTGTACTACTCAGATTGCACTAAATCTCCATCATTTAACATGCTGCTCTAAAACATTTTATTGCACTCACTTAAAAACAAAGTAACTAGTCCAGTATAGCAGAGTAATTTTTTTTAAATTATCTTGAATAGTCTAAAAATTAAGTCAAATGAACAGTATTGATTTGAATTTAAACACATTTGATTGCAGTTCACGTTACAGAGGACTGCAGACCATCACTGTGGTGAAATGGCTCAGTCTTTTTACTTCTAAACTGTAGAGTTTTATCTTCCTATTAATTTTATTTAATGCATCATGAATGATTCATGGTTATTTCTACTTCATCACTAACTATTATTAGTGTTTTCTTTAATATTTGCATTTAATGGACAGAATAAATTAGGATTTTCTTGATAGTTACCCCAAGAGATGAATCAATGCGATATATTTGTTCTAATGTAACTCTTGCACTCTAAAAATGAGAGAGTAATTTTGGAAGTGAAATTCAAAATAAAAATCATCACTTTTTAATTAAATAGCTGTAGCACCTAAATTAATATAGTTTATCCATCTCACTGAAGTAACTTCTATTGCTGAATGTTTCATCACTACATGCTTGCAATGACAGTGTTAAAATTTAGTTAAGGAAATGTCATTGAAACCAAGTTGCTGATCAGAAGCAGTTTGCTAAGCATTGGTACCAGTGCTCCCTGAGAGCTAAAATGCACTTCTGGTAATGCTGCATTATCTGCAAGGAGAAAAATATCCTTCTCGATGGACAGAGTTCCCTTCTACAAGTCCAAACCAATTAACTAACTATACTGAAACTAAAGGTAGAAGCAAGAAAGGAAGATTCCCCTCAACTACACTTTTTAATCTTTTTACAGCCTTAAAAATCTCCTACTTATGAAACACTAAAGGGTGCAGTGTTTAGGAAAATGTTATTTTATGTACAAATAATACCACCTTTCATAAAGCCCGTTTTAGATTGAAAACATTTTTTCCTTCCCGCATTGAAAGGAGATTCTCTTGCAAAGCAAAATGCCTAACACTAATTGAATCCAATTAGAACATTACAATAAACTGTTGCATAAGAATTGGGGATGCAGAATTTCATTACAACCTATAATCTGAACAATTGTATGCTCATCTATACAACTACTTAAATGTAGGGAGACAGTGCATTTGGTTAGCAAAATGCAGTGCTTAATGTAACATAAAGGCTGATTTGCAGTTGAAAAAATTTTTATAATTACTAATCAAACTGAATTAGTCTCTTTTCTGGAAAGCAATTAAAGGAAAAAATACAAGGCAAGGTTAAAAACAAGTCAGAATGTATGTCCCTACTTTGTGTCAATTCACCTAGATGCAACTTAAAATCTCAGCATACTGAGAACTTGCCTTAAGTTTTCAGAGGTGACAAAATGCACAAGACACTCAGCAGAAGCCATGTGTGCCTCAGCACATCTGAGCTCCACAAGTGTTGGGAACAGAACCACATGGTTTATGTTTCACATTTGGTTTTGGTTATTCAAATAACATGCATTACACCTGCATCAGTTCACAATAAGTTTATTTTATGTGAAGAAAAGCTTTGCCATTAATGAAAAATTTCAGTAGAAAACAAGAAAGTACCTCCTGCTTTCAATCTAGATTACTCAAAAGTAGAAGCTTGTATTAGTGAAAACTTCAGTAGAAACAAATCTGTAGGAAACGTTCTTGGCACATGAAGTAAAAGCTTTAAACACATTAAGTTTGAATAGAGTATTGACCGTGCAACCATGCTGGCAGAAAAGCCAGTTTTTAATGGCTGGTATTTGTCCCTCAAGACAATAACATGGAAGACACATAAACCTGCTTACATAACGTTAATTGTATATAAATATGCTGTTGCCATAATTGACAGTCTCTATTCCGGCCAACCATTTAGTTTAGCAGTTCTAAATAAGTAATAGGCACTTTGCCTTTCTGATTTCCCCTTTCACCCATCAGCCAGTCTGAATCCATGCCAGGGATACTGTACACTGTTATCACCTACAAAAAGAGAAACACATTATTATAAACTTCATTTGCAGGAAAGAGAGTTACAGTCTATCTTCATGGGATTCCCAGTGTCTTGGAATTGAGATTAACCAGGTTAAACAGAGCATTAGAATGATCATCCATGGAACATAATCTAATGCTCATAAAAATTATTTCACTGATCTGTGGAAAAGAACAGACACAGTACCATATTTTAAAGTACCTTTTTTCTGTTGAAATTCTATTAATTACTGTTTATTTTCTGTTATGTTTTATCTTTAACTTGTGTATCCACCCTCAGCCTTAACAGGCAGCCTAAAAGAGACTTCTGTGGAGTGCATGATAGAGAGACAGATGGTGTTGATGTGTTACATCTTCACAGAAAATCCAAGCCCACAGCTTCTACCTAAGCCACTCTCTAGATAAGAAAAAAATATTGAAGTAATGCACATTTAAAAACCCAAAAATCCTGAATATTCTTTTTTAAATTTCTTCTTCAGCATTAAGCTACATTCACATTACCAGGTGGAACTCTGTTCCAGCACTGTGCTTTACCATCTATCTCCATTTGCTTTGTATAGACTCTCTAACTTACAACTGCAACTGAACTGAAACAGGAATAAACACAGCACAACCTTCACAAAATAAGAAGTTGTTGTATTTTCATATTCTTCCCGCATTGCAGTATTCAACATTTGAAAGACTAATCATATTGAGAATAGTGCTAAAGGTGTGGTGAAAAGTAGACAGCAGAACTGTCCAGCAAATGTTCTTCAAGCTAAAATGGTGTCAGAGATGTTGACTCTCACTACAAAATCTTAGGATACACAGGTACAGGACAATGCTCCAAGGGTATTATTGAAATTTAGTTTTAAAAAATCAACTACGTAGACTTCTGGATGGAGCCGACCTTAACTGGCTACTCACAAACATTCCCATTTTACTTTCAAATAATTAAGGTACATAGAAAACTCTTACCTCATCTGCAAGTAGAGATAATTCACTGCTGTTTGCAGCATCATAATCATAGAGAACTCTTGCTTTTCTGCTGCCACTTGATGACTTCAGTTCACTGAGGCCTGAAGTAACCATTGAATTGCTTACTGAAGGCAATGAAGCAGAGGCTGAGGCCAAGACTGAGGGAGAAGAAACACTCTGCACAGGAGTTGTGGAAGACTGATTGTTGTTAGAGAGGAAAGTAGATGGAAAACTGTGAGAGGGAAAAAAAAAATACTTGAGTGAATCTGTTTTACATAGGGCATTACACATGCTCCCATGCCTAAATTAGCATTCTTATTTTTATCAGCAATAAACATCAGTAAATAGCAGTAAGAGAACAGCACTGAGAGTTCTATAACATAAATAAAGATACTTGTTCCTGATAAGTAGCATAAATCAAATCAGTATCATTTAAAAGGAATGCTGCCACCTTAAAAAAAACCTGGATATTTGTCTCTAAAAAAGGCAAAACCAAGAAAGCACTGTTGGTCAAACTTAATTCAGACTGTACTTTGATAAACATTTCTTTTGACAGCTCTGCCAGAAAAAGTAGCCTCCACCTCCTCCTGCTCATTCCTCAATTATGTGGTTACACAAAAGATTGTGCTGACGAACCAGATCAGGGAAATAATACAACTTAAAACCACAGCCTCCCTCTGAAAGCAAGAAAAAACACACAACTATTTTTGTAATCTAAATCAGTTAATTGATTCAGCTAACTTCATGCTGTAAAGCAAAAATTATTTTTTACACTAAAAACGAACTTATACCAACTTAAGCTCCTCATTTCTAGGTCAGGCTGCTACTTGCTCAGTGCCAGCCATAGTGCTTGCCAGACCCTCCCATGAAGTCAATTAAATTCATTAACCTGACTGAAAAAGAGGGGAAAAAGTGTATAATATCCTACTTTGTTAATGAGCTCAGTCACAAAAAACTGTTATGAGTGACAGAGCAGATACAAGGGAAAGCACAGAATAACATGACTGAAAAATGGAAGGAGCAAAAAGGAGAGCAAAGCAGGAAGAGATTTTGGGGCAGTGGAGTAGGAAGAATGGATCAGCAATGATGAGCTCTGAGAACAGTCCATGTCACTCTGCCCTACATTCTGGGATGCAGTTCTGTGGCAGACTAAACTCATTTATTTAGCAGCTGATGTAACAATTTCTCGTCCCTTTGCTGCCTTACTTGGTTCTAAGACCCATCTGGATTTTACCTTAAGAGTAGGTCAGTAGAAGTCATAAAAAGTGACAGAACTGATGCAGTAAAAAAGGGCCAGCAACTAGGAGTTAGACTGAGTCATGATGACCTGGAACTGCAGTTGTATTTCCTTCCATTCTTTGGACCAGTGAATTCTCACACATAACCCCCCTCATCAGTCCTTCTACATGGATGCCTCTTCGTTAACATCTGGGATATGGGCATATTACCTCCCGCCTCCTTTCCTGTGCCTGCTCTTTTGACATAAGGAGGATCTATCCATACCATGCATATGAACCCACCAGAAAACAACCTCATCCCATCCCTGCCAACCTCTGCTCTCCAGTCAGATTTTTTTCTGAAGATGCAGTTCAGTGGCAACTGTACCTATGTAAATCCAGATCAGTATATTCCCATAACCATGTCTACAGCATTATTTGTGCTCATATAATCATAAGAGGAGCTGCTTTAAGCAGCTGATGCAGGTAAAAACCAAACCAAACAGTGCAGCAACTAATTTTTGTTCATGTGACAGTAAATAGTGGAACAAATGCAGCTCATATCTGTAACAGCTGCAGCAGTCCTGCACACAAGGTTCCAGGTTCACACTATACTTAACCTGGTAAATGCAGTGTCACCAAACAGGGTAGACCCATTCCTGTAACTTTTTTTTGCACAAATGTTCATTCTCCATAATTTGAGTCAGATCTAGCAATCTGCTGCTTTTGATTCAACAACCTGAACTAACCAAAAATCTGGAAGATAACTAACTTTCCATGAGAATAGCTTTTTAAACATGTTCATCTTGCAGTCACAATTGTATTTGACTGAAAGGAAAGAGCAGCAGTGTAATATGGAGGACAGCACTAGCCCCTTGACAGAGCAAATTGCATGTAGAAATTGGCAAGACTTCAGGAAACTGTTCTGAATTTAGGCAGCAGCTTACTATTGGGCAAAGGAGGAAGTCCCATTTCCCCCTGTGGCTTACCTTGACCACTCTTGATCATAAAGACCTGGTTCAACTCACCAAGAGAAGGCAACTCCACCAAATGTTGGGTTTTTTTTCCATTTGCTAGATTAGTTTTTCAAACTAGTTCATCATGTTCCCTGAACAAATCCAACAAGCAGAATAAAGGGAGCCAAAACCAGACCCCTACATTTCTGTAGGTATAACTCAGCTGTGCCTCATGATGTATTTATTACATGATTAGTTGGCATTCAACCAGAGGGATTTAGTTTTAAATGACAATCAGCTGTTTCTCAATATTGCTAAATGACTGTTTGATATACTGCTAAACCTGTTCTCAGTTAACAGAGTAATTACCTGTCAGTTATTCTGCTCAGTTCAAAGGGTCACTGGTTTGTACAGTCAGTGGAACAGAAAGCCAAAACTTTATAACCAGCCTGTCAATCAGTGGAGCATTAAGTCTCACTCCTTTTGCAAAGCCATATTTAAGGCATTTTTCTGGAAGGCTTCAGCTATACAGAGATTGTCTGGTTCAGGGTTTTTTATTTTGAATGCTTGAGTAACAAGAGTCTCACAGCTTGTAGAGTAAGATACTGGTAATAGATAATCTGAAAAAATTATGCCACAGCTTACATTTGTTTGTCAGGGAAGCTGAGAAACTGCAGAGCAAAAGCAGTTATCAGGAAGGTAAAAAGCAGCCAGAGTACCAGAATATTTGAAATAGATTTGTTTAGTTCATTCTGAGGAACTGAAAATAAGAAAAAAGGGAGATTTGATTTAAAGAATCAATCCAGCCTCAGAGGAGGGGAAGGGAGTGCAGAGATAAGCAGCTGGTACTGCCTTGAAGAGAAACATCCATAAAAATATATCTATTTATATAGAGAGAACTGAGTACAAGCTTTCCCCCCACCTTCCTTACAGTTGCCTCTGGAGAGTACATCAGGAAGATCAGCGCTGAGGTTTGGAACCAGGAAGGGGTGTATGCCCATTCTGACCCAGGTAAAACATCATATGCATCTCCTCTGAGAACAGGTTCTGTTTCAAGCAACAAACTGATCTCACTTAGAGGCTGAATGCCTCTGGTCCATCAACAACCTCAAAACAAAACTCAGTCCTTCACAGTTCTTGGCTTTTATGCGAGACTATTGCACAACACCATTCTTAGATGTGTGAAAAGCTGTGTAACTCAGCACTACGTGTTAACCAACAGAGCACAACCAACATCTGAGCTGCTTAAGTTGTTTATTTGGTCTGTATGTGCCCACATAACCTCAGGAGCACAGAACACAAACCCTACTCATCTGCTTATTTAGTGCAAGGGCTACACACCACATCCCTATAAATGGAAGCAAGGAGCACAACCTGAGACCCTGTCCCAGTGCTCTGTTATACTTCAGTGGGATTTCCTTGCATGAGGAAGGAAAGACACACCCAACATTTAATACCATAACTATTTTAATCCACATAGGCAGAGAAACTTCACTGTTATAGGTATTTAGCATTTTGCAAAGCTTCCATGCTTTTGTTTTCTACCAGTCATAGTCATTTTATTAAAAATTCTAATCAGATCACAGCCACATAAAGATACATCCTTCTGTTTTCCTAAAGGCACTATTTTCTTCAAATATACTTTTTTTATACTTGGTAGCAACTTACACAAATTCTAAACAAAAACAGCAGCTCTGGGACAAGCGATACATCCTAAAGCAGGATTTAAAGAGGAACATATTCTTCCTTAGAATAAGGGTATTATGTTTAAGACTGTTTGATAAATACACTAAGATAAGGGTATACATTTTAAAAATCTTCTCAAAATAGTTGTGTAAAAATATTTCACTTAATTTCTAGTTTAAAAGTTGCTTTTCATTAATACTGTAAATGTTTGTTTTCAAGCTTTCAATTCCATAACTTGTATTTATGTGCTACCATATTTTATAGTTGACTATCTGGAATGTATTAGATTGGGATGTAACTTTAAAGATGCAGGTTTTTTTCAGATCGAAGTTTTAAATATTTTAAATTACAATTTAGTAGTTTAGTCTTCTTCAAGACTAAAAAAAAAATCTTTAAACTACACATTTAAACAAACTGAGGAAATGAAATGCCACAGGAAATTGCAAGTCAGGAAAAGGGTAAGATTCAAGAACACTTTTGTTTTTACTTCCTTGTCAGGGAAAACATAAACATAGATATCTCAGAGACAGTTACCTAGAACAGATACCACAGTAAACCTCTAAGTACAGACAATTCTTCAGTGACTACACTCATGTAAATAACATGATCTGTGTAACTCTAAGAAAGGGTGATTGGTGAAGGATTACAATAGAAAAACTTTATGAAGTGCAAGTATGTTGATCTCTCTACATTCCCACCCACCACACAAAAAGGATTAAGAGCACAAACTAATGTCAGCTTCTTCTCTTACTTTAAAAATGCTAAACCCATGAAACAAGAGAAGCTTGTTCATTCTACTGTGTGTGCTCTGGATAATAAACAGGATGAAGTAGATTTCTCCCTATACAGTGTCTATGCTAGCAAGTCAGTTAAGAGTGGAGAACAGGGTTTCATCAGAAAATTCACTACAGGTCGTTATCTGATTAAGAGGCAACAGCAATTTATAGGAAGTATAAAAACTTTTCCCACATTGCAAGTAGTTTAGTAGCATAAGCATAAGACAACTGAAATACTGAGACTACAAATAAATCTCTAGAAATTTCTTCTTGTCACCTTAAATGAGGTTACCAAGAGCTCACCTTTCTCAATTACACAATCTATAAAATCTCAGTAGATCAACTCTCAAAAAGCCTTAGTGCTGTGTGTGGGCTTAGGGAAGTAGCTGCACTGGGTAATTACATATTAATTACCTGAGAACAGATACATTTCCTTTCAGTCCAGCACGCCTGTGTGTCCACCACTATTCTCAGTGTAAGTTTTCCTACTATTCAAAAGCATTTATTAAAAACTGAGCTTTTTCCCAAAGTTTATACAGTATTACTACCTTCCAAGTTGTTTCTGGAGATCCAACATATATTGGTAACATTGTGCATAGTAGGTCATCTGAGCTTCCACAAAGTCATTCAGACAGCGGAGATGATGTGCCTGTAACACAGCAAAGAATTCAAGAGTTTAGTCTACAGGGGCACCCAGGTGCATTAGAAGGAGTAGGCACCTAGTCAGGTGCTAATGCCACTACTTGCATTAAGGGATAGATAGGCAGAGTGCCTGGATTTACCAGGCAAACAGGATAAAAAAATTAACATACTTGAGTAAACATTTTTGTGGTTTCAACACTCAATTGATCTGACGAATGGGAAGCTGGGTATGAAGAATGAAAATGAAAGCTCCTGCATTCTGAAGGTTAATGGGAAAGTAAATTCATGGATATTAAATTAGAATTAAAAAAAAACCAACCCTTGTGGTTTGATGCTTTAATGCACTGAAGTGAAACCTCACAGACCAGAGTTCCCAAGAAGTTTACTGCAGCTATTTTTAGAAGGCACCCTGATATTGACTTTCCTCCTCAACACCTTTTGAGTACTCACATGTGTGCTGCTGATGCCTTCCAGCAGCAGTCTGGTAATCTCTGCTTGACGGTCAAACTCACTCTGAGTAATTCGCACCTCCTGTTCAGACTAAAAGCAAGAATGCATATCAGGTACAGTGCTCTGTGCTACACCTGCCCACTGCAACAGTCCCACTTGATCCAGAACTGCTCATACAAATGCACAAATCACAAACTTAGGTGTTTGAAATGGGCTTTTTCTTTGCAGATCTTTACTAACAAAAACAGTACTTGCATTCTGGGTTCAGAAATGTTGAGGCCCTGTGTACACAGCCAGCAGCTTACTATCAGACACCTGCTACATGTGCAAAAGAAAGGCATTTCTTTGCCAGCAGCATTACCCCACCTCTCACAATAACAAACCAAGCGTTCACTGGCACAACCACGTCTACACCAGGGGTTTAGTCAGCATACCAATGGCAGCCAAGAATAATGTAATTTTTTTCTATATATGAACTTATCAGGTCTCTGATTAAATAATTCAGGGTAAACCTCATGTTATTTTTGCCAGGTAATTACACAGCAATCAGCTGCATATAAATCTTTCATGTGAAGTTTTACCTGGATGTCTCATAATTTAATGTCTTATACTGTCCAACAAACTACTACAACTACTTCTGGAGCTTGTAATCAAGGAGTCTTGGAAATAAATAAATCTGAACTGCACAACATGTTCTAACACTTGGTGCTACAATTAGAGTAAAACGTCTATTAAAATGATGTAATACAAGTTCCATATTTCAATAATTCAAATTTATTCCTTGTTACATATAGTTCTCAATGATTTTTAAGTAAGTTATCAGTGTTACACTAGTTTTAAATTACTTCAATATAGCACAGCCAAAATTACTTTAGAGTACTTTTTTGGTGGGGAAAGAAAAAAATAACACTAAATACACATATACAGAGTATGTGCTCTAAGATTCATTGCTCCACAACATAATGTTCTCAGCCTGGAATCTGGATTACCTTGCTTCAATGCTTATATTCATTTAGTGCTTTGTTTCTAAAACCAAACCCAAGGGCAAAAATCTATATTAGGTCCAAGATGCAGCAATTACTATTCTCAGAAAGGAGGAATATATTTTCAGGAAAATTAATGAGGTAATACAAGTAAAACACTGGTTTCAAAAGCATTTTATGTGTTCGCAACAATTCTGCTCTTGCATCCAGCTAATGTTAATCAGTATGAAAAGTCTCATGGAACCTCAGAAAAGAGCACAGAAGAATGACAGAGTTACCTAAGAAATGTTTTTCCATCTGAAGTCACTGCAGCTGGAAGGGCTTACACAGTAATTAAACACTGAAGAAGTACCTAAAGAGAACTGTGTGCCTCTTACTCAAAACTGAGATAGCAGTGTTTGTATCAAGTTTCAAATTAATTAGGTCTTCAAAGTTTGTTGAGGAAAGAATCTTTGCTTTGAATTTTCTGATTAAATTTTAATTAGTATCAGTGAAATCCATCTGTCAGTCTTTGAGAGACATGTAAGAACAAACAGATGAAAAAAGCTAATCTGATAGCCGAGGGGAAGAAAAGCAACATCTTAATTTTCTTTTAAAAACCCATCAAAGCAATAAGTAACTCATTTATCTGGAGAGAAATAGTTTTGTCTCTTGCTTCTCTGAAGTCAGCAGTTGCTAATGTTTCTGTCTCCCTGTCAGGTAAGTAAATACAGGAGAACAGGAACTTAGAAGAAGGGGGACATATCCATCAGAATGATTTTATTTGTTTCAACAACATTCTAGCAAATCAACTACTTTCTGTAAGAAAAGGAAAAATAGGTAATGTGGTAACACATATTAACTTAGTCAGTACAGAGTGACTTAAAATATATTTACAAAAGCCCAATGTACTGGTTTTATAGAGATTTACATTAACTGAATTATGTGATGATGTCTTTAACGAGTTTTGCCCATCCTAATTTCAGTACTTCTAAGTGAACAGTAGCAGAACAGCATATCTATTCTACACCTTGGGGCAAAGGTGAAAACCAGCACACTTTTAATCTGGGAAGTTTATGGCCTTATCACCTTATTTCTGAACAGAGAGGAGAGCTAAAAAATACAAGACTAAACTTCCCAGCTGCAGTTGTATTATGTTTTTAGGACCATTAAAAAGCCTCACTAGGTATGTCTCGTGAAGATCCCTCAAAATGGTACTTGCTCTGCAACTACAGAATATGACCCCAGGTTTTGAATCTGAGTATTCACATGTAAATAATCTCCCCAGATTTCACACAGGAGTACAGGACCTCTTAGAAATACTGTGCAATCCTGCAGTGAAGGGACAACACACATAAAAGCATATGAAATAAAACCACCTTGCTAATGTTGTTTTACCAGACATGCTTTTAGTAAAACTCTGGTAGTGGATATACAGCTGTGCCTAGTATTCAATATTCCTTCTGAAATGCAGAGTTAGAGGAAGCTAAACTGAAGAAAGTTTGTCATTGCCACCACGCACATCTTTTATTCTAACTCAAAAAAAAACCCAAAAAAACCAACAACTGTAATTGAGCCAGAAATGACTGGATGGTCTGAATTCCTTGCTGGGAAGCTTATATTTAAATTAAAAACATTTATGAATCTCCTCCTCCAACTCTCAAACACAGAAGGACAGATTGCCTTTAGAAATGTAGATGGATTACTGCTCCGTTGGCTGCACATAATGTTGTAGTTTCTTCTCAATAGTCTCTGCTATTTATCTACTAAATAAAAAGGGGACCTTGAATTACATAATTTATTACAAGAGCTAAAGTTTTGTCTTCTTTATGCTATAATTAAGCACTTTGTAGTATTTCTTCTTTCCAAGCCATAATCTCTTAAATTTCACTACCCTTAAAATTGTTTGTCCTTGTCTCTGAAAAGCAGATAGCTTCAAGATTAGTTTTTAATACAGCAGTATTTTTTCCCCGCCATTTTTTCCCCAATAGAAGACCAGCAGACAGGTTTCCTGCTTCCAAATGTTACTTTACTTAACTCATTAAATAATTCTCAAACTTTGGGACCTCACCCTCCTTTTACAGTTAACCCCCCCTTTTACTTTCAATGCCTCCTTCCCTCTGAACTCACACTCATTCTCACCTGTGTACACCATAACTCACAGAAAATTGGAAGAGCAACTCCCACAACTCCCAAAATTTCACTTGAAGCTGCATATCCCAGCTTCTCCCTACACCTCCCACAGCTGCCTAGCTAGCTCCCCATTAAAAACCATACTCCAAAGCCCATGCTCTCCTTCTATTGACATAATTTTAATTACCCTTCCTCTACAGAAACCCACTAAGAAACCCCTCCTTCCCTGCCAGCATCCCCCCTCACAGCCTGCTGCCAGCACTGGCTTGTCAGAGCCAGTGAGCCTATGAACAGCCCTTCTCAAGGCACCACAGCAGCCACCACCCAACAACCCATTAGCTCCTCTGAGTTTGTCCCTGGGCAAGGGATGGCACAACAGAGCAGGCTGCAATGCCCATTCCAAGGCTAATACTAAGCTTACAAACTAGCTTTCAGGGCAGGTGCAGTTTTCAGATGTGCCTACCCCCTAACTTAAGCTGCTGAAGATCTAGTGACACTGGGGAGAAAGGTGAGGTGTTCCATGCTCTGGGTAAAACTTGAAGATCAGTGTTTTCAGGAGAGTTTAGATTACTAGACCCCTATATTTCTGAAAATTTTCAAATAAGCTTGTTCTTATGAGGATATCATGCCAGTAAATTTTGAGAGAAGTCCTGTAGTTGTCCATTGTATCTTGTCCCATGAGAATCATACAGCCAGAAACAGCTTACTACAAAACAAGCCCCAGGCATTGTTTTGCCACTGAAACCTGAAAGGCCCTGGAGGGGCCCAGTGTACTCTGATGTAATGCATCAGGCTGCCAGCATCAGACTGAAATCAACAACATGTAATATCCCTTATTACAGTAGACCAGCACAAGTCATGATTTTAGAATTCTGCAATTTTAAAATTGTTTACTTACTTTTGTCACTTCCTCAGCCCATATCTAGTCAGCATTAAGAGTAGGGGAGGAGAAAATAAAAACATACAAACTTAGACATTGGTGGTACTCTATTACAGTATATGTACTTTCCTGTCCTCAGAACTTCACAGGGATTTGAGGAGTGCTACAAGTCAGTTGCCCAAAGCCCTTCAGACACAATGAATCTATTATGAATATGGATAGCATTACATCTATGGAACAAGTTAAGATACTGAAGAGGAGTGTGACTTATAGAACTCATGTATTACAAGAATCTACTTAAAACAAGCTATTACAACACAAGACATAACTACTTTTAAAAATTACATGAATCAGACAAACCAAATTACCTTAAGAGGAACTTAAGTTACCTTAATGTGTTATCATAATGGAAAACTATGGAAATCTATTCTCATTTTTACACTGAAACAGATGAATGCTTTCTCTTGCTAATTTCATTACCAGTTTTCTATTTCACAAGCACTTTGACTGAAACCTAAATTTAATTGAAACTGCCACAGAGGTATCTCACATTGAATATTAGAGTAGTAGCAAGCAGCACAGCAAAGTCATAGAACTGCAAGGGATTTAGTCTAAAAGTTAATTACTTCAGCTTGCTCTTTCAATTCCCTCTTGCAATGTGGTTCTTTAATTTTCATCTTCTGCCATTGTAAGATGATGACACAATCAGGAGTAGGAAGAAATGTGCATAATGGTTGCAGGAGAAAACTGTAACAAACAAGTTTATTTGCTCATTTTTTAAGCTGATCACAGCTGAGAAATCTGGAATGCTAAATTGAGATGAGACCCAATATGCTGTGCAGATCCAAACCCCAACCAGAACAGGCTGGACAGCACAGTCTATGCTGTACATAACTAATTAATCTCTTTCTCTTCCACTTTCACAACTACAGTGCTAAAACCAGCTGCACTAGGGAGTCTTTGCAACAAGTTTAGGATACATTGTACTCTAAGTTAAGCCATTAACTTCTGTGACATTATTCAGTTGCAGTTCTTTGTAACACATTGCTTGAAGGGAATCATTTCTACATATTCCTAGCTGTTTCACATAATTCACTTTAACTCATATTAAAAAGATAGGAAAACTAAATCCCTTTCCTCTAATAGCTGAAAATAATTTCAGAAGTGAAAAATTAACTCCTTTGTATCCTAAGTTTACATTGATAAAATCACAGAAATTAGAATCTAATACTGTATATTTCAAATTATCAGAAATAATCTGATAAAAATAACATCCAGTGCTGCACTGACATAAGTGTATTTATTCATTACACCAATCCATTTTCAAATGGAAAACAACAAAATGAACTGGATAGCAAGAGGAAACATTTCAAAGGAAAATGAATGAACACAGGAGGCCAACAAACCTTTAGCCATTTTACATGCAGCAAGTTGAGCATGTAAGAGACATTTACCATAATGTTATTCTCTTCAGGCTGAGAGATGTTTAGTTGCTTAAGTGTACAGATAAAAAACAAAAGCAAGTTACAAAACTGCAAATATAGCAGGTAACTAGATTATAAGCACAAAGTACTGCAAGTTTAAGCTAAACAAGACTGTGAAGTGAAGATAGATAAATAAAACAGTATAGATTTTGGTTTTAAACACTGCACTAAACTGTTTCAGTTCTACAGTAAGCAAAGGACAAGTAATTTTCAAATTATTTTTCCCAGTTATAAAAATATGTAATCACATGTAGATAAAATTTAGCACTTGAACCTGTCACAGAAAATAGTAAAGCATAAAAATTTGCATCACAGCTCAATACACTTCACTAACCTATCAGTCCAGCCCTATTTGTTACGTTTCTTCCCTTATAAATAAAGGGAGCCAGCAGAACATAACCCATTTGCATCACACCTATATCCAGGTTAGCTATATTGCAGAGGATAAGGAAGAACTGCAATTTTGTTATTTCTGCTAGCATTCTACAATCTGATACTTCTTACACATGCATATTAATTTTAATTACATTTTGACAGCAAAGTATAGGCAAAATAGTGAAGAGGTTTAGAGTTTCATGCTCTTCCAGTACTAAATTATGTGCATAAAACTCCATACTTGCTGTATGAATACTTAGGATCAAGCACAGTAGCAGAAGCAATTGGCACCAAGTTCTGAATGATTGCATCAGTGATGGAATTAAAACCTCAGTATAATATATACATATATAATTTTAATACTAGGCTCAAGGGGAACAATTCCTTATGGTCTTTTCGTTGCTTTAGAAAGTAAGGTCCATACTTGCTACTACACCAGAAAGGAAGCTAATAATAAAAGCACTTTTTTTATTAACTTAACTCTGAACAAAGTCAAGCAAAGGAAGGGTTTACTATCCAATGCTCTCCTATCCATTGCTTCAAAATTGCACTACTTGCTGATCAACACCTTCTGTGTTCTCCGTAGTTAGTCTTACAAATTAAAAAAGCTTGACAAATAGAGAAGTGACTCTTTTTGCATAGAATTTACACAAGGGAAAATGCATGCATAGACTTAAAAATACAGATAGTTTCAATACAGAGGGACAGTGTGCATGACATGGACTGACACACAAGAGCAGAACTGTCAGGTAGAGATTATGTTGGTTTTTAGATGGCTCATGATCGCAAAGCTGCAATGCACTTCAAAGCTCAAGATGATGTCTCTCAGATCTTTCAGGACAAATGTGTATTCTGAAAAGCCAGAAAAAGCTGCCAGTCTTCCTTCTGCCTCTCCATCATGTACACTGTCCCTGTGTATTTAAATTGACTGAATTTCTTTATTTGCTTGACTCTTACTGTATTAACCCTCACAGGAGAAATCACTTCACTGTCCATCATTAACTGCTGAACCTTTAGAAATGAAGTCAAAAGATGGCTATGAGAATACTGTAAATATATCCTGATGAAACTACATACAGTCAACAGTCCATTCCTTCACTTAGAGCATTTTAAGAGTTTAAAAAGCAGTAAACTTTTTTTTTCAATTTAATCTCCTTGAATAAGCATTTTCTGAGGGAATCAGAATGGTTAAGTCATGTGAGTTGAAGCGTCTCACCTCTGTTTGGTGGTGTAAAATAGTAAGCAATACATAAAGAGAAACCACAAATATTTTTGACAGAGAAGTTCAGTATAGACAGGTTCATCAGTTGAGAGCAACTATACATGCACATCAGCACTTACAGAGATTCAAGTATTTGTATTTACACCCATATTGGCAGGTTGTATCAACTAATTTTTGACAGTATAGGCTCATCTACTATAAAACAAGAAGAGATTAAGTAAGTCTAACTTGATGGAATATTTAAAAGTAGAAGACTAACACCTTGATCAGTAACTCACTTCTGTTTCCTTGTGTTCCACTAAGGCATTTCTTACAAAAGTACCTAGAAAACAACCAGGGTAAGAAGCTAGGACTGGAAACATAACCAAGCAGTCAAGTTGATAAATATGTATGAAAAAGTCTGAAAGTTATGGACCAACTGAAAAAAACCCTTCTACTTACTGCAGCTCGAGCTTCTGCAACTTTTGCTTTCTTCAGTCTGGTTTTTGCAGCATCCAAATCCAGTCTTTTATTTTGTAACAGTTTACGTTCTTTCTGAAAGTGAGTGAGGTTAGTTTGTGAGAATGGGTACACACACAAGCAAAAGACTGTCTGCTTCGAAATGCTTTTAATGAAGTATCACATAAAAAAAAAGTTCTTCAGTTGAAGAGAGAGGCAGAATTAGATCATAATTATTCTCACATAGTTTATGCTCAATATGCATACTTCTCATAGAACAACAGTTAATAAACAAACATTTTCATCATTATTTTGTTTTTAGCTCCACAGAAAAACAGAAAATACTCCAAAGACACAAATTTCACTTGATTTTTTCTCTATTACCTGGAGGAAAATAATAATGCACCATTATCTACTACTATGTTTTGAAGACTGACAGTTAAAATTGGTGTGCAATTCTGAAAAATGTACAATTCAACTTACAGTAATGGTTTTGTAGTCTCCTTCAATAAAGTTTCTTAGGGGAGTGAGAAAGTTTATAGCAGAAGTTTGAATGAGTTCTCTGTCTGCTGCCCCAATTCGCTTTTGTGTTTCTCCACATTTAATGAGTGCATTTCCTGCAAAGGAAAAAATATGTTAATCATATTGTTTAGGCAGGAGGTTAACAAAACAGGTTGCCACAGTCAGGAAAGTTTAGGCCAGCATTTTGGAAAACAAAACAAACATCCAATGTCACAAAAAGGGTCTTCAAAAGAAAGAAAATAATGTGCAAAAAACTCAACCCCCCCCCCCCCCAAAAAAAAAACCACTCCAAACCCCCCAAAACTAAACACCAAAAAAACCCCAACATAAAAACAAACAAAAACCCCACACTAAAATAAACATCCACACAAACAACAAGCCAAATCATTTTTACTATAATCAATCACAGGTCAAGGCAGGATTTCAATGAGACCACATATTATGGCAACTCCTATTTCAGAACTGGACTTCATACCTACTTATTTTAATCCAACAACTTCCTCTCCTACACAACATTCTTAAGACAGGAGTAGTTGGAAGCAAGGAAAAAGCTTATTAAGATTTTGGAAAATAATGTGCTTTTCCTTGCCCCCATCTACTCCAACTTCTAAACATGCATTTGCACATTAACCGAGTAATACTTTGAAATTTAGTTGCAAGTTAAGTATTGAAACTGAAGTTAGTGTATCAAAAGGAACTTCAGCCTGATACTGCTTAGGACACTAAGTATTCAGAGAAGACTTTACGACCCCACATGAAACCCTAACATTCTATCTATATGCTAACATTTTATCTTATTTGCCTGAATTCAAAAACTTCTGCAACTTAAGGGACCGTGTGCCTCTAAGTACAATTCTGTTTGATGTTAAAGAGCAAGACTTGAGACTGATGATCAGAAGGAAGGCCACAGATACATAAAATCACGTGGAAGTAAGAGGAACAAAGCTTGCCATTATTGATTTTGGCATAAGAATTCTATAAAACATTTACTTTTTTTTTTTAATGTGTTTTCCTTTTTTGAAAAAGAACGCCATTATTTACAGATAGAAGGAACTCATTCTTCACAGAACAAAAGTTCTCTCCTACAGTAATTTTGAAGAAAAACTTGAAGAGAGTGAACTATCAGAGTTGGCATACCATAATAAATACAGACACCTGCATTTTTCAGTTGTTTAAATTAAATCAACAGCAGAATTTGTATCGGCAACTTAAAGAGGTGTAGAGAAGACTAGAATTAGACTTTAAAATTAACAGTAGTGTAAAAATATTAGAGGTAATACCCCCAATCATCTTGTCATAGGTATATAAATTTTCTAGAGAAGGAATAAAACTTAGATTTGTTCCACACTACTATCCTTACCAAAATATTATATATAAAGAAAAGCAGAAATACTGTACTGTTAGAAAGGTTTCTTAACACAGAAGTCAATTTCAGGTAACATTCTCACTCCAAACAACAAATAAAATCAATAAATACTGTCAAATGTGCAGATGTATTCCTTTGAACAAGGAAACTAAACTCCAAAAATAGTTCTCTGGTAACATAATTACCCATCCATGAAGATGGATACCATTCCAACCCCAAGCTCTGTTTCTAGATTTGGAGAGAAACCTCATCATTGATCTCCTAATGCTCAGTTATACAGCAAGTCAACTCAAACTGATACAAATGTCAATAAACAGTTTTATCTAGAGGAAGACAAGAAATATAACTTTATATTGTTTAAAAAGCCTGTATCTGTGAGTTTTTTTACTTCTTACCATAGGCTGTTCCTGGGCCAAACTCATTCCCAGCATCAATCATATACTGGCCTAATAACTCTGGGTTATTCATGCGACTTGGTGCTTTGCGGTCCAGCTTCTCGTAGACAAATTCTTCTATTCTGGCATCTAAAAATGTTGATTTGAAATAATTATTGTCATTTAAAGCACTAGTCAGAATGAGAAACAAACAAACAAGAAAAGGAACACAAAAAAGGAATTTCAAAATCCAGCCATTAAACTCAACATTAAGTGAACAATGTTAAGCCGGAGATCCTGTTCCTGGAAACAAACCATGTTCCATGTTTGCCATGCCATGTTCAAATGCTTCCTAGATCCAGCTGGGAAAGTGAAAATTTATACATTTCTTCTCCATTAGCATAGTTATACAGCTTTTCAGAATTTCGATCAGAAGTCTCCACAGTAAGAGCAATAACAGAACACTTGTCCTTAAAAAAACCAGTCTTTTGTTCCCCCTCCTGAAAAAAGACCAAAATTGTTCACTACAATTAGCAGTAGGAATTAAATTCAACAACTACTCTAAGTTCCCTATTAAGATATTCTGAAAGTTCAATAGCCCCAGAAATTATATCCTCCTTCGCATGCCCCATGCTCCCTTGAAACACTCTGAAAGAAACCATTAGAAGTTATTAGAAAATGTTTCATTTCGTGTTCTCATATTTCCTTAGTCCAAGCAATAAAACTAGCAGAAAAATGTGTTGAGACTATGTGAGCATTACTACCCATCTATCACAATACTAAGCCACAGGGAGCTTCTTAGGTGGAAAGGTCTCACATACCTCAACAGGGACTCTGTAATTGAAAAAGCAAACTCCTCAGATACAATACCCAAATTTCTCTGACCAACTGCTTTCATTTCTCACCTAGCTGGCTTTATTTATACAGTCAGTAACAACTCATTTCAGCCTACAATAGTACAGACAACCACAAAGAAGCTTTCCAGTGATCAAACCTGCCACTTTAATACTATTTCTTAATTAGACAACTTTCAACAGCAGTGGATTAAATAACTACTCTCTCATGAAGGTCACAAAAATTAATCTAAGACAGACAATTATGGGTACCAGTGCATTCCCTGGCAGCAAGAGCGAACCAGAAATTATCAAAAGTTATTTGTTTTCTTTACTCAAGCCATAATATTTATTTTTTACTAAATCACAAAATAACTGGAAAGTAATCTAAAATTATTGGACATGGGTCTGATCTATAGGCACAATTATAAATGGGACTGAAAGTGATTTTTCCTCCCCCAGACAGGGTCACTCCATTAACAACCACCAAAAGCAGCTCCCTGCAGCATGTGATCCTTCTCCCAAGTAGGCCAGCAAACAGCTGAAGTTACATTCACAAAGATCACTGCTCAATGCTGAGTATTTTTAGGCATAAGAAAATGGACTGGAGAGCAGAACTGAGACACTACTATATATCATCCTTCTACTGAAACTTCTTTATACGCTTCCACCAGCCTCCAGTCAGTGCTTCAATATTCAAAGCTTACAAGTTTCTGAAAAAGTCCAAGAGATACTACAAATACTGAATTGAATGAAACAGACAACTGCTTCCTCTGGCCTAGACAAAAGCAGAAATTTGAGCTAGAATATTCTGCAAGTTCTACTGCATCCTTCCCACATGATTAGTTGGTTTATTTTTAAAATACTGTTCTTATGGAACTAAAAGATGCAACACACTTCCAAAGTAATACTTCAAACATCTCTGTAATAAAGAATTTATCCACTTGGCATTAGAGAAGTGTATGATTTACCTTTAGTAATTAATCCTAGCTCAGTATGTCATTACAAGGAGAATATTTGTTTTCAGTGCAGAGGTAGTAGCAGTTTTATATAATTATCATTTGAGCAAACCCAAAGGAGGTTTAGACTTTTCAGTGAAGTAGTTCACCCACTGACTAGTCACCAGGTCTTGACTTAAAATCTAGAGCTATACACTAAGCAAATTCCTATAGCACTAAACTCTAGTACAACTGCAGGATGAGTCTGAAACTGATGTCCTCAACATTACTACTTCATAGCAGCAATTTCAGAAACAAACAAAATTAGCACACCATAAAACTTCATTACTTCTGCCCATGTTTTTTTTCCTGTTACTGTTACAGTAAGAGACTCAACAGTGATGAAATCATATTTGACACTATTTTGTATGGCTTAAGTAGAGTGCTAATTCTTCAGCAACGGAATTATTAAAGACAGGTATTTTAGTTCATCTTGCCTGCTTCAAGTGGATTTGTATTGTGCAGAGAGTTTAAATAACGAAATATTCTTGAACCACTATATGTATCCCATGAAGAACTTCAGAGTTCTTACAGCTATCCAAGATATCTGGAATTAGAATGGGAACAGTTTAAAAAGCTCTGTATACAGTTTTCCCCATTTGAAAGGTTCAGGAAGTATCAGCAACTGGCAGTGTCTCCAGTTCTTACCAGCTCTTCAAAATGTGCTTTCCATAACTGCAGCCTTCAAATTTTAAAACTGCTGTAGTCATTACTTATACAATAGCTATTGCAGGAAATATTTACATTGGCATATTTATTAATTCAAAAGTTGAAAACAAAAACCTGAAGGGCTCCTTACTTGGATTTGGCTGCAATAATACTTCTGTTTGTTTCATTATTTTTTCTGTCCATAATTTAGTGCATTCTGCTTTGCTGAGAAGGTTCTCCAGATGAGCATCCAGTTCAGTCTTCTCTGCCTGACCAAGCTTTTCTTCTGTGAACTGCAAGTCAGTCACATGAAAAATATTCAGTTCATAGAAATAATTTTCCAGAACAAATTTAAAACAGTCACTTATATTAGTTTGAAGATGTTTTAAAAGATATAACCATTCCCCAAAGAAATAATTTTCCAGAACAAATTTAAAACAGTCACTTATATTAGTTTGAAAATGATGTTTTAAAAGATATAACCATTCCCTAGTCATCAGTAAAAATCTAAGGACAAATTTGAAAGCTATTAAGTTCACCAACACATCCATACTATCAGATAAAAAAGGGCAGAAAAATATGCGAAAGGTAATTTGTAACATTATGAAGAAATCCTCTGCTAAACTTGGTACTGAGAAAGCTCACATGAAGCATTTTGTCCAATTTTGCACTGTGTTCTTTAAAACATTAACCAAAATGGAAGTCCAGAGGTAATAAAGAAAACTTAAAAATTACTTCAATCTTGTATATTTTGTAATTGCTTGTTAACTAACCTCGTGTAAAACCTGACGACAAAACAAATTCCGATTGCAGCTACCTTGAATATATTGAAAAAATGTCCTGTCCAGGGGCAACAGGACAAAAATAGGGAGTTTAAACTTCAGTAAGAAGATTTAAATTATAATTAGACATTAAAGAAAGCTTCTAAAGACAAGGATTAAAAGCTAAAACAAACTTTCTTGGGAAGCTGTGAATTATATATCTTTGGGAGTGGGGAGTGTGTTGGTTTTTAGAATAGGACAACCCAGTGTCTGATAAACTCTTTAGATGTCCTGTTATGCCTTACAGAAACAGTAAGACCACCTCAGCTGTTCTGTGATTTCAGTGACCATGAAGTACAATATAACTTCATTTAGCTAAATAAATCCATCAGACAATTCATTTCACTCGACACAAAATTCATGCCAAGTCCTACTAATCGACAAGCAGTTTGTTTTTCAATCCCAGTCAGGGAGAAGCTGCACATCTCACATCAGGGAAGCAAGCACAGCCGGAAGTGAGGGCTTTGCCTGCCCCCTTCCGAGCAGCAGTTCCTCCCAGCGATGATCCCATCCCTGGCAGCGCGCTGGTCAAAGTCAGGCATTCCCAGGAGAATCTGGCTTATGATTAAGTCACTAACAAATTTACCAATTAGGAACTTAACAGGACCGGAAGCATTCTGACTGTCCAATTTCATTCTTAACAAGTTCTTTGGTGGTCAGTAAGAAACCGAATACAATAGAAGTAAACCGCATTATCCAAGCTTGTTTTAATTTCTGTCACATGTAGATTAACTACAAATTAACTTTGATAGCATACACATCTTGATAAATGCTTCTGGCACTTGCAGTTCTACATAAAAGCAAACTGCAGTCATGAGAAAGTTCAGCTGGTGTATAGGGAAAAAGGGAATTTATTCATAGATCCACCACTACTACTGTTTAAAAGGCTTTTAAAACTATGCCAGGTGTTCTCAGAAACTTTGTACAGATACTTCACAACACAGTAAAAATAGGTGTGGAATTATTTTTTTACTAATTACAGATAATAATATTTGTATATAAAATTATTAATACTTCTTATTAGTATTCCATAAATCCTTTCAGCAGTGTGAAGATTGCTAAGTGAAGACCACAATGTTAGATTTCACACATACACTTAAAATGAAATCACAAGGTCCCATCACAAGATCTTACAATAAAGGGTGAAACTGCATCTCCTCATTTTCCCTTGTCCAACAAGAAAAGAAGAGAAAGTGGAGGCAGGAAAGGAAGAGTCGGTCTGGGAAGCAGGTAGATGTGGAAGAAGCCAAAAGCCAGGAGTAGTGCGGGAAGCATGGAAATACCTCCACCACAAAGAGAAGCTATAATGACTGCTTCAACTTCATTTAAATTTGAACCATATTTTTGACGAGTTCGCATTTTCAGAGCTCTGCTGTGCTGCTGGTCATTGGTTCTGCTTGAATATTGAGATTTAGGGCAATACACCAGACTGACCAGACGAGACAACAACGCTTACCACATTCCAAACCTGACTGTGGAAACGAAAGTGGATTACTACACACTGCTTGGGTGCCCATCTCCCTACAGCAAATCTGTTCAAGTTTGATTATATAAGGAAAGGGGATTACGGCTCAAGACAAGCGCTAAGGAACAAAAGACAGTTCCAGTGCTGTTACTGCGAAGAAAGGGGAAGACCAAATCTGAAACAATGGGCTATCAAACTAGCTTTAAAACGACACTAAAAGTAAAACAAATCAAACAACCTAAGCAGACACATACCGGACTTTCATGTGTCAAATCAGAGTTCGATTTTTATCGATCAGGCAGCGATATGAGCACGTTTCTAGCAGCCGGTAAAAGCCAGGTGCTTATTTCAGGCGAGACACACCTTTGTCCTTTGCATGCACAAAGTCCGGCCGTATCTCCCGGCAGCTGATGCCTGCGCATCTCGCGCTCCCAGTGCTGGCGCCTTCTCCCCCCTTTGCCCGTCTGACCTTGGGCTGTCTCATCCCCGCCAGCCCCCCGAGGCTGTTGTTGTGCAGCCTGCCTGGCGAGCCGCCGGGCCTGCCCAGCCCGCGGCCGAAGGGGCCGGCTGGAGGAGACTCCTCGCAGCAGCCCATCGCCGCCCGGCCCGGCCAATGCTCCGGCCTCGCCCCCGCCAGCACAGCCGGGCCTGCCGCTCCCTGCGAGCCCGCGGTGGGCCCGGCCCCTCCCGGCCCCCGGGGCGGAGCCGAGCGCCCCGGCCGGCGCCCCGCGCCAGGCCCAGCGGCGGCCCGCCGGAGCCACTCGCGGCCTCGACCCCAGCTGGAGCGTCCCCGCGTGGGGCCGCCCCGGCAGAACCCCGTTCCGGCGAGGCCCCGGGAGGGGAGGGCGGTTCGTACCTGCACGGCGCGGCTCAGGAAGGTGCCCGCGTCAGCCGCCAGCTTCTTCACATTGAAATCCATGATGTTCATCTTGGGCGGGGGCGCTGACTCAGCCCAGGCACCCGCGGCGGCGGCGGCCGCTCCGGCCCGTCCCTGTGGGAGCCGCCGGGGGCGGTGCCGGGCCCGGCCCGACCGCAGCGGATTGGCGGGGCCGCGGCGTCAGCCCAGGGCCCGGATCGGCCGGGTGAGCGGCACCGGCGGCCGCCCCGCCCCGGCCCTAGACTGCCCTGGCCCCGCTCCGCCCCGGCCACCTCCCACCGCAGCCCCGCTCCGCCCCGCTCCTGTCGCGGCCCGCCCCACGCTGGCGTGAGGGGACAGCGGGCGGGGCGGAGTGGGGTGGCCAGGCTGGCCGTGGTGGCCCGGCGCGCTTTTCCTGCCGGCTAGCCCCGAGCGTTATCGGGGGTCCCGAGGCTGCGGCTGCTTCGGGGCCGGGTTAGCCTGCCCGCCAGCCCCGGCCGAAGGAGGCTCAGGGAGCCGGCCGCGGCCTTTGCCGGGAAGACTCGCTAGCAGGGCGGGCGGCACAGGCAGAGTCCCTTCGGGCGGGCGGAGGTGAGCCCCGGGCACGTCTGTCGGTGACCCCCCGGGCATGTCTGTCCGTGCCGCAAGCGTGGAAATCCCGCCGCTCGCAGGGACCGCGGCCCGGCCTGTCCCGGGGGCTGCACCCCTCCGACCTGGCTCTTGAGAGGACAAGTCTCGCCTCCCCTCCCTTTCCTTGTGTCCTGAGTTTAGTAAGTCATACCTTGTCTTCACGAAAAATAGTTTTTGGTTAAACTGTCAAAATGTAAACTGGGGATGAATTTTTAAGAAGTCGTTCAGAAAAAAAGTGTTTATTAAAAGATGTTTGGATAAACAAATACTGAGATGCAACTAGGCATTAGCACCAAAACATCACAAAGGGAGGTTTTGAAAACCTTGAGTACAGTAGCAAAACTCAATAGCAGTAATCAAGCAAATCAGGAGGAAGTAGTCTCTACTTTTAGTAATTTCCATTATTTTAACATCTCTCAGCATGATTATTGAATATTCAAGAAGAAAAGAAAGGACCTTTGACATGACCAGGAATTAGAAAACATCTACATTGTGGCATCATTGGCAGCAGCTTAATATACCCAGTTTGAAAATAATCCTGGTTGTTCAGTAATTTATTTCATAATCCAAATAGTGAGTAATGAGTGTCTGAATTTGATAAAGTCAGAGGAAATCCTATGGCATTATGACAAGAGGTGAATTCCAGAGAAGGGAAATAGCTAACAATCAAAGCAATCTTGCTTACATGCCAGTCAGATTCCAGGAATTAAAACCAAAACAAAACCCAGGCTGTGTACAGTTCCTGTTGTACCTTTTATCCTGCTAAGAACAGGGCCTGAAAGCTATTGTGTGTATGTGTTTCCTTTTCTTGAATCATTTTACCTTTTTCAGCTGGTATTGTTTAGTTTATACATGAGTATAAATGTTTGCATATAAAAGCTATATGACAAGTTTGTTTCTATTTCCTAAAATTAATGTTGCTGGTATACAGAAGTCCCAGGAATCTCTCTTTCAAGGCCCAGTACTATATGACCTGATGAAAGCTGATTACAGTTGTGTAAGTGCTGGTTACAATTCATTGTGATATCAATTTAGCATATGTGAAAAGACAACAACATCAAAAATTTTAAATTTGGATCTACAGATGCAATTATTTCACTTTATAACTTCCATTGGCGCTAAGTTCCAGCAGTTCACATTGGTGGATTTCCACAAAAAGAGATGCCCAACAACTGAAAGCAGTGGTGCCTGAGCTTGTAGCAGAAGCACCAGCTGAGCTGCAATGTACCCCAGTAACGCCCCGGCTGTGTGGTATTTTCAGGCTGGAGTGAACAGCCATCAAGTCGGTTTAACTCTTCCCAAATCAACACACTGCTTGTTCTTCCCTGAAGCTTGCAGCCTGCTGCTGCCCATGCATTGAGCCTTGCGTGCCAGAGAGGAAAGTGCTGCTTTCTGTTACATTGTCCAGTGTCCTTGGTATTGCTTTTCCTTCCGAAAATTGCTCCTGGAAGAGGAGCAAGACTCCCATCCTTTAAGCCCCCATGGGTTAGAGTGATCTTGTAGGATTTGGAAAACCTACTTTTAGTTGCTGCCTTCCTGAGGAGCCCCAAACAGAGTGGTACTACTTCTTAGGAAAATGCCTTATGTAGCAAGTATTTCCACCACTAACAGATGGGTTGCTTGGCACTGGATCTGGTGTTTCAGTTCTCACTTTTAACATCCTTCCCCTTTTTATGAATGCTAAGCACTCAGAATGTGAGAGGGAAAAAAATAAATCTTCAGCTAGTGATTACTACACTTGTTCAAGAGGAAGATCTGTTATACTGCATGATTATATATTTCATACAAAACTCTAGTTCAGATAATTTTTCCCATTTTGTATTTAGTGTATAAATAAATTCATTTAATGGATCACAACCTGAATTTCCATGCTTTTGAAATTCCACAGGATTTTACTATTCTTAAAACACTACTGTGTTTCTCCCTTCTTTGTCGTTCTCTTTCTTTGTGTGTTGCAGGCCTATTATGTACTGTTCAGGACAAACTCTGGAAATTTTTTTGGCATCCTAGAAGGTGTTAACAGCCTTATTTTGGAGATTGCTGTTGCCATTTTGAGAAATTACCACATGCAGGCTGTCTGCCTTGTTCTTATTGGAAGCTTCAGTAGCTGGTTCTAGTAGGAAATTGGGTCCCTCTCTACAAGTACTCTTCAGACCCAAAAGCACTGTCAGGGATTTGGGTTTGGGATAAAGTGATATATCTGGCCCAGGTAAGGAAAGCCATACCTTAGCACACAGGCTTAGTTACAAGCCAGATACTGACATAGGGAGTGCTGAAGGTGAATTCAAAGCATGCACAATGTGTAGAGATATACACCAATGCATTCTGAGAAAATCAGTTGCAAGGGCTGAGGAGCTGTGCTGGAGGAACAGTATCAAACAGTAGCTCCGAAGTGTGGGGAAGGTCACTTGTAAAAGTGCTGGAGCCATAGCATTGTCAGGCTGAATAATTGCTTTAGGCTTAATTTTAAAAAGAAATTAAAGCCTTCCATGTGCACAATCTCTGAGAATTAAGAAGTGGGTGACCACTGTACCAGAAGGTATGGTGAACAATATAACTTTGCCTACTGTCTGATTTTCAGCCTTTCTTGTAACATACCCCAAAAGAAGAAATAACCGTTCATAGCATTTTACTGCTGGATATAAATGGACGCTGAAGCATCCATTCCTATGAGTAGAAATAGAATTTGCACAGAAAACCCAAACTAACCAACCAAAATTATGTTAATATAAAGGTTTATAGTGTAATTAAAATATTTTGATGTAAAGAGTAATAGTTTAGAACTGAAATGATTCTCAATTGACTCCCAGTACTGCAGACAGTATGGGAAGGTAGTGTTTACGCCAAAGGCTTTGGAGTCAAAGATTTGAAAAATACAATCCCAGAAATGCCTTCATAAGTCAGTTTATATCCTGTGAAAACACTGTAAAGGAAACAAACACACTCTGGTAGCACATCTAATCCCAATAATGTAGTGCCCTTCTTGGAATTCATACCTATTTAGTTCTGTAATACACTGAGGGTCACATATTGTGTCACTGTGTGTATATACACCGCTTCTATTCCCACTCATGATTATGTAACTGAAGCATATATTTGCATAATATATTTTTATTAATACTTAACATATTTATGTAATCATTTAATGCAGTTTAGCAATGGGAAATTAAGAGTTTTGGCAAAGTCACAACCAGCACCAGCCACAACCCTGCAGAACTCCAGCTAATACTTTGAAGAATAGTAGCAATCCTGGAACCAGATTTTGCAGATAAATGTGTGTAAATTTGATTTACCATTTATTGATGTATTGAAAAGACATATAAAAATAAAAGGAGCAGAATCTCTATTTAATAATCGAAACTTGTTTTACTAAAATAGGTAAGGGCATTTGTTTGTGTGTGAGTCTATAGATTCTTTGCCAACATTAACAACTGTAAGCTTAGCTTGATAATAACCAGGCAAAGATTATAAAATCAGTAATGCCAGCTGCCTGGCCTATGTACAATCAGGCTTTCATGGAAAATGTGGGGACTGGATTTGACAGAGCCAAAAAGCAGCTGTTCTCAACAGCACACTTCCGCTCAGAAACTGCAGTGATGTGAGGGACAATTCATGCTCCTTTTCACATTAGTGCACCCTTTCAGTGGTCCTTGTGGCAGCTGTTGCTGTGCTTCCCCTAAACACTTGAACTGGAGTTGTACTAGGGTTGCATGCAGCAACTGGCAAAACATTCAGTAGGCAAAAGTCCTGATATTTCAGGGAAGTGGACTAGGTATAGCATATGTTGTTTTCATGGTCTTTGTCCTTTCCTGGAGCACAAAGGATAATAATTTAGTCCCACACTCCAGCTGTCTATCTTAGAAGAAGTTGGCTATCTTATACGTGGAGGAAATTACCCCTGTGGAAATAGAAATAAAATTTTTGGGCTTCTTCCTTTTACTATGCAATGATAGTTTAATAACTGGAGGTATATTTACAGCTTTACCACTTCCCTAATAGTGACTGTGAGAAAGTTGTTTCATCACATGGTACTACAGTTTCTCCACATGTGGCATAGGAATAATTAAACTTACCTTCTTCATGGAACATCATGAAGTGTCCATGTAGGAGACTGGAAGCTGGAAATATTTTAAGAGCATTTGGAAGACCAGATTGAGAACACAATTTTTATGGTTTTGACATCAACTAGCACATCTTTTCTTGCTAGCTTGAGCTGGCATGTGGCAGTTGTGTTGGCAACTGGGACTGCAGCCAACATAGCTTTTGGAAATACAAGAAAAGATACATATATATACACACATATATATACACATACATACATATATATACACATATACATATAAGCATAATAATGGAAATCAGAAGCCTTATCCTGTCATTTTGTATCTGCTTGTCAGAAAGCATGACTTGACAGAAAAAAAGAAAAAAAAAACAACTTGGGGGAAAAAAACCTTGAAAGCATGACAGAGCAAATTTTTTCTGTCTTTTGCAGTGGTGTTTGGGAAATGCTGAATCCTGCTTTACTTGAATTGACTTCTTCAGAGCTTTTACTATGGAGAGAGCTCAGTGAACACGAGCTTCTAATTAAAACAAATCTTCCTCTTGCTACTATCGTAAGAGTCATAATTAATAAATTCA